ATTGTGTATTATGTACTCGTAATTTAAAAATGTGTGTGTCTCCTTAGATATTTTGTAAAGATTTGGACATTTGGCCTATATGGATGTAGCATATGTAACATAAACATTTTGCTTTTGAAGATCTTAAAAACTTCTTTTGGATACTGGGGAAATTATTGAAGAAAAGCATTATGTCAAAGACTTAGCTAATATTTCTGGTAGAATTACTGAGCTTAGCTTTTTCTGTGCACAAATGGTGAGGCCACAACAGGTTTCTTTCTAAAACTTACGAACAGCAGTATGCTGCAAAGAACCTGAAAATGTGTTAGGTAATGTATGACTGTCTCCAAGCAGAAGAATTTGTTAACCTGAAGCTAATGTGGCAAATTAATTTTTGGTCATATCCTTTGAGAATCTGTTCAGCTATACTTGATTTATATGAACATTAACAAAAGATTTATATTACAAAAAGTCAACCCACTTTTGAGTTAGAACAGCTTCATTTTGAACATCAAATATGATGTTAAGAGGGAGCTGTTTGACAGAACTGGTTTTTAGACTATGGAAATACTGAAGATTTAACTGCTGTCTGCTTAGCTTGGGCTTGATCCTGTGCTCTGGTGGTCTGCTGTGTTGTACCTGGTGATACCATCGGTGCAATCTTGGAGCCTATATAAATCCTCTCTGGTTTATTTATGCAATACATTAAGTGTTTACATATTGTTGCACTTTAGATATGTTGTAAAAATGTAACCAGAATCTTTTAATTTAAAAAGCTGAAGGTAGAAGGAAAAGCACGAGAGCTTGAATTTTGCATCATTTTTAGTTTTGTTGGTCCATGAATAAGGTAGTTCACGAGCTATTCCTCCCCAATTCTTCTGCTATATGACTTGGCCAGCATTACATAGATATCAAAAGGCTTATTCAGTCACACTAATAAGTAGGAGTTAGACTTAAGCATGTGTGTAAGTTGCCATGGCTGCAGAGGGTTACTTGTGGTTTTGGTTACCAGTTGATTTAATCAAATCCCAGATGCTGATTCTTTGTTCCTGATGACAATCCCTGTGCCAGACTAAGGTTTGATCCAAGACTAATTTTGCAAAAAGAAACCCATTTAACCTTATGTATCATGTGGTCACTGGGACTGTACAGACTCGGAGTGCTGCTGTTGCCTTCTCTGATGCATCGGTTCCTGTATTAATACCAACTGTAGGCTAGCCCTTAATTAGTGTAGTGGCTTTGATGAGAGCAGAGGTGAATTGGCTTATGCAGGTTGAGGATTAAGACCACCCAGATTTGTTACCAGTTTGTTGCTTTGCCATTGTCCTCCTGTCCTGTGGCAAATCTGAAAAGGGGCTTTCAGGAGAGAAGCTCGCAGCAGAGGAAGAAGCACTATAGGCTCCTTTTGCCTAGAGGAGGCTTATGGCATGCTGAATGCATCCTTCAAGTAGTAGTAGTCATTTGTGCAATAAATCCATGTAGGGAGCTCAGTAGAGGTCTGCCCACAGCTCCCTTTGGGTGTGGGACACTACTCTCCCATCCAGGAAGCTGAGGCATATGCTACTTAAATTGTGTTAGAGACACAGCTGTGTTGTCTGAGCAAAGATCATCGTTGGGAGGGATGGAGACGTGGTTCAGTGTTGTGGTTTAGATCTTGTCTGAGATGTGGAGAACTCACCACAGCTCAGCAAATCGCTGACAGTGGTCCCAGCAAAAAGTAGTGACAATAGCCATTACTGTCTACCGCAGAAGATTTGCTCCTGTCCTAAAGGCAACTTTGAGAGAACTGAAAGAACTTCAAGGCAATTTAATTCTTTAGATTAATTAACATAAGGGTAATTTTAGAGAGACAACAGCAACCTCCTCATAGTTGTTTTCTTTTGTAGAGAATTCTTTCTGGATTATGATTTCATGCAGGTGGAAACGGTGCCATGTAGTGATATTTAGACACCATTTAAATGGAGGTGGGACAGAGGAGAATCTGCCTCTGGGACGGGTGTGCAGGGGGAGATTATTTTCTTGAAGACTCAGATGTGAGATAGAGACAAAACTGGTAAAGGCATATCATTAATTGTTGCTATACCTAACTTGTGCTGTGTAGCCAAGGAGCTATTGCCTTGATAATAGTTGTTACTAGTTGTGGGGATAGATGCGAGTCTGTTGACTTCATTAGGAGTACTGCCTGTAAATGAAGCAGAGTGCATCCCCAGTCTGCTTGCTAGAAGTTTATCATGAAGTGAACGCAGAGGTAAGTGTCTCCATTTACTTGCAGATCTGGAGGAATTAGGCAAGAAGGCTGGGGCGTAAGGCTCCTTTGCATTTTTGTATTACATATGTGACTATTTTAATTTCATACTGAAATTATTGGCAGCATCTATGAAATTTGCTTGCCTAGCAACTAGTTTGTAGTTGTGACTACAAACAGTTTACAAAGATAAGGGAAATACTGGTTTGGTTTTTTTTAAATTTTCTGAAGCACTTGAAAAAATCCTTAATTCATGCAATACAGTTGAGTTGAAGACAAGGTTGAACGCCAGAACTGGGATTGCGATCCACGATTTTTGTAGAGCACAGAGCAGGATGACCTTCTTATTGGAGAGTTAGTGAACAAACGCCGAGAAGCAAGGCAAAGCCTGCAGATACTGTATGCAAATAATCAGCCATCTTTTTTGAGGTGTGCGGGTGGCTAGTGGAGATGAGCTGAATCTGCACTGGTGTGGCAGAAAAAGCATGTTCTGAGACTGCTGATACCTGCCTGTGACAGCTGGGAAGCATTCACCTCCGGTGATTACTGTATCTCTGGCTGAAAGTGGCTTGCGACTTAAAGCAGTGTGACAGCGCTTTAAGGTTTAAATTAAATTATAGGATGGCTTTAAATGGGCATGAAGCGTGTCAGAAGAGAGTATGGTGTTGAGCCACCAGTCCCCTACTTATTAATATGTCTTGAATGTATGAATTTTTGTCAACGGAGAAACCCCTAATTATCCCGATACAACCTTTGATAGTGGAAATTTCCAATGCAGGTGTAAGTTCAGTGCTGGACAGTTTCTCTGATAAATCAGATGGTCTGAGAGGAAAGTATCCTATACAGAAGATGGAGAATTGGTTTGAGATTGCAAATTGTCGTGTATAGCAGAGAAAAAACTGCTGTTCTTCCCCAGGCTATGCAAGGGAAGAGCGATCAGGTCTCAGTGGTGGGCTGGGAACCTGCTGTGGAGGTGCAGTGAGGCAAAGGACCCACAAACAGTTAAGGATGGACTTGCGGTACTCATCACTGAAGTAATTTCTTGATATTTCCCAAGTTGTATAAATAAAACCTGTACTGCAGTTAAACAACATAATTTTCATCTGATCTTTTTTTCTGTATCCCAAACAGTGCTCATAAACGTTTTCAGGGTAAGCTTGCACTTCAAAGGCTTCATCCTCCTCTGCTCTTAATTGCTGTAGTGTTTTTGAACATACTGACAATATGCTGACTTACACAGCTGAGAATATAGACCTGATTGTTTTACTTCTGACTAATTGTGATTGTTTCTATCATGATTTAGTGAATAAAGAAAAATACTAGTGTATAAGAATCAGAAAATCGCAGTTAGAGCAGCTATATCTGGATCCTCCAAAGGGCTATTGTGATCTGGAGGTGGTTATTATCTCATTATTTAGGTATAGCTGGCTCAGTTTAAGTTTGGTCAGTACTTCAGCTCGATGAGAGATCTGCAGTTGAAAAACTGTTCAATGTATGTGACTACTTCGCACTCAATTCCTTATAGGCCTTCCATAAATTACTATTAAGCAGAAAAGCATTTTTTTAGTTCCATAGGTAATAAGTCCAACTGATTTGAGTATATTTCTCCAGTTTAATACTTTCTTGCCTTGTGCTCAAAAATGAGCTTTTTTTTTTTTTCAGCATGTACTTTTTTTGTACCCTGTGTTGTCTGTATCAACATTGCAATTACTTAATCTTGTCAGGAAGTACTTACAATTGTGGTCATGGCCTCATTCAATGGGTAACCGAACAAAAAACTGGATACTTGGATCTGCAACAAATTGATGTTTAAATCATAGTGTAAAGCACATAGATAAACATTTAGTATTTAATCATCTGTTAAAATGAAATGCATTTTCAATTCTCAATCGCTTCACATCAAAATGAAAAGGTAATAAAAGTCAAGATTTTATTTCCAACCCCTATCCCTCTTATAAACTGTGTTGGTAGCATTAGTTTTCTAGTGGTGACATCTTTTTGGGAGCAGGAAGGTCACACTGGGCAGTTGAGCAAAAGCTTTTGGCAACTGGATTTGCATGGTTATAGTTTGCGCTGGAGTTCAAAGATGCTGCCCTTCTCTGCACTGCTATTTCATGACTGTTTTTGCTTTCTCCCCACTCCTCCCCAAATTGGGAAATGAAGTTTTAGAAAGTATTTTAGGAATGATGGGTAACTATACTTGCAGCATATTCTTTTAGAACATTTGTGTTTTCCCTCTTTGTCTTTAGCAGGTGATCTAAGCAGAGGAAGGAAAGAAAGCTTCATACTAACAATGTCTGAAATTTATGGTGGCTTTGTTTTGCCTGCTCTTGCAGTCATGGTAATTTCCTCCTAGGAGCTTTGAAATTTGGGAGCCTGGATTTCTAGTTCAGGAAAAGCTGAACATCCCATGGCAGGTTCCCTGAAAGCTGTTAGTGTTTTCTGTCCTAAAAATGCATCCAGAAACAAAGGTTAGGCTTGTCTGCCCAGGTTTAAGCATGTAGTAAATTACTTTGAAGCCAGTGCTCACTAACATGGTGCTCATCACAGTGAGAGCTCTGTAACCAAGTGCCTAGAAGTTGGTTTGATTTTTAGACACCGTACTGAAAATGCAGCCTTGTATCTTTCATTGTGTCTGTCTTCCTGCCATGATTTTAATTTGCTACGTTGCTTTTTTTCCCTTGAGTTTTTTAACTTTTCGTTGTGCATAAAACACTAATAATAACTCTTTTGTTTTATAGGTACTAAACCAAATGATCTACAATTGATAATTTTAAGAATGGATGGGGAGGAAAATAAGAAGAGAGATGATGTTGATGACAGTTTACAAAGTGAGTTGACAGAAGAATCCCAGAGAAACACATCAGGGGAAAATGCTGGATGTGACTCTTCATCTCAGCTGAAAATAAGGCTTACATCAGATGAAGTGTTCAGAGACCTTGAAAAGAAAAGAAAAGAGGATGGAGCCAAAAAAAGGGCACTATCAGGATCACCAAACCTGGATGGTGTTCAAGCAGACAAACCTGAAAATGTCTCCAGAAAAAGAAAACGCAGTTCTTCAGAAGACATGAAAGATAGTGAAAGGAAATTGCACAAAGTCGTAGCTGGAGAAGCAGGTAGTATAGTAGCTGGAGCTGTAAAGAAGGAAGGAGTCGTCAGTTGTCTTGGTGATGACATATTTAATTCAAATTTCCTGTGCCTACATTGTGATTTCAAATGTGCTGATGGTGCCATATTAAAAATTCACCAGGAAAATAAACATTCACAAGAGGTGCCAGCTGCTGTTACTGATAACTTATCTTCTTCAGAAGAGATGAGTGTTGGCTATAAAGTTGGAAACATAGACAAAGATCTTAAAGGCAAAATGAGTGATCAGTGTTCTGATATGGAAGAACATAAACCAGAAAGCCCCTCTAAACAATCCAAAGAGCAAACATGCCCTCACTGTAGTTGCACAGCTGAATGTAGTTCAACATTACATACGCATGTTAGGCAAGATCATGAGAAATCAAAGATATTTTGTTGTGATCTTTGTGGTTTTCAGAGTGCCGAGGAAAATCTCCTAAATTCTCATTTCCTTGGCAAGACGCACCTTCGACGCCAAAATCTTGCTGCACGGGGAGGATTTGTACAGATATTGACAAAAAAATCCTTTAAAAAAGCCCAATCTACTCCAACCAAAGAGAGGAATGTTAGAGCAAAACCTGGGACCAGTAAATTAAGGGCCAGAACTGCTGATGCAAAAGAATTAAGTGCACTGAAAGGCTCAAAAGTAAGCTTGTCTAAACAAAATGATGGCTCTGAATTTGTTGAAATGATACCATCTTCAAATGTTCCCACAGAAAAAAAAGATACTATGACAGAAGAAACGTTGCCTTCTTCCAGTGTAGAAGGAAAGCATGAAGTCTGTACTGAAAAACTAGAAACAGCAGGACCCTCAGAAAATACCGTGCAGAAAACAGAACTCCCTCTAACTAGCAAAAAGCTAGTTAGCAGTTTAAAAATGACAAGGAGATTTGATAGACCGGAACATAAAAGGAACTTTGTCTTGTTAAGGTCTTCATTTGGACAGAGTAGGTCTTTTAGATTAAAAAGGCAGGTTAAAAGAAGGTACAGTTTGTTGGGTAATAGTAAGAGAGGCAAGTCTGAAACTCGGAGAGTACACATGAAGCGTATCTCCAGCACACAGCTTAAACCAGGTGATTCAAGCCCTATGTCACATACAGAATTAGAAACAGATGCTAAAAGTAATTGTAATACTACTTCAGAAATACAAGATCTTGCTGAAGATAAGCCAAATACCCTTTCTTCCAGCACTACAGATACTAAAGATTCTGATGTTAAACTTACTGCTGGTCATGGTATTCTTCATACTTGCATTGATTGTGGTCATGTTTTTCAGAACAGAAAAAGTTTGGAAATTCATGTTGCAAAGCTTCATAGAAAAAGGATCCAGTTTCATTGTCAGACGTGCAGTTATTCCTCTGGAGTCAGGGAAGACATGAAGCAGCACTGTCAGGACAGTAAACACCAGATGGGTGGTTGTAGCTTTAATTGTCAACTCTGTTCATTTACCAGCTTGAATGTGATCAGCCTTCGAAGCCATATGAGTGAAGCGCATAATATGTCCCATAGTTGTCCAACTTGCATTCTTTTTTTTCAAATGGAAGAAGAGCTGTTAAATCATCAAAAAAATGAAAAACATGATGGTTCGTTATTTCAGCAAGCTACTCCATTGAGTAATAGTGATCGGACCTTGCAAGTGGTAACTTATGCTGACTCAGTATCAAACAATAGCCAAAATCTTGCAAAGGAAATGGAAGTATCAATGAAAGCAAAAACTCCAGACTCTTCCATCATGAATCATAGAAATGAGCTAAAGCATTCTGTTCTGAATAAAACACAATTTCAATGTAAAAAGTGTTTTTATAAGACAAGATCTTCCACAGTTCTTACAAGGCACATAAAACTCCGACATGCACAGGAGTATCACTTCCTTTGCAAAGCGTGTAATCTCTACTCACTGAGTAAGGAAGGGATGGAGAAGCATATCAAAAGAAGCAAGCACCTTGAAAATGCCAGGAAAAACAACATTGGACTACGTTTTGAAGAATGTATTGAAAAGGTTTGTGTTGGTGTTGGTGGTATTAAAACGGTGGTGGATCCTTCCGTTTCTGGGAGTGGGAATATAGAGTTGGATAAAGAAATTACACACGTCTCATTCTCCTCTGTGGAAAACATATCGAGAAATAAGGAATTGGTTCCACTTGATCAAAGGATTGGTGAAAATGAATTGGTTTTAGCTAATGCATCCAAAAAAGGGAAACTCAAAGGCACTATTTCTAGGACATGCACCCATTGTGGTCTTTTGGCCTCCAGTGTTACAAACTTAACTGTTCACATCAGACGAAAGCATAGTCATCAGTACAGCTACTTGTGTAAAGTTTGCAATTATTACACTGTAACCAAAGGAGATATGGAACGCCACTGTGCAACAAAAAAACACAAAAGTCGTGTTGAAATAGAAGGGTGTGGAAAACAGAACTCGGAGATCATCGTTAGCCCCGAAGGAGGTAATTTTGAATCCATGAGCAAGAAGGTTAACAGCCCCATGACTGCCTTGTATGAACATGTTGAGGATTGTAGCCAGTCATCAGATTTGGAAAATTCTGTCTTAGACAATCAGGAAGTTGAGCAAGGAGATGCTGAGCTAGAAGTTGCAAATACCAGTAGGCTGCCAGATCTGGAGCATACTAGCAATCCATTAAATACAAACCAACGTATATTTCTGGAACCAGCTAGGGTTACTCAGGATGGTGACCCATGCTTCCAGAGAAGAGCAGTGGGTGCAAATGACAACAAGTGTGTACACTGCAGCTTCATTGCTCATTCTTCTTCTTCTTTAGAGCTGCATGTGAAACGAAAACATACTAAACAATTTGAATATTACTGCATGGCTTGTGACTACTATGCTGTTACTCGCAGAGAGATGATTAGGCATGCAGCAACAGAGAAACATAAAATTAGAAGAGAATCTCATGTGTATTCTTCTGGGGAAGAAGCACACACAACAAATATCACTAAAAATGGTGCTGCTTTGTCTCAAGAGAAGCACCATCACAGTGCAGGAGAACTGAAAACTGTTTTAGGTGAAACGAAACATGCCAATGACATAGCAGAAGGTGATCATATGAATAAAAGCTTAACAGAGTGTATTGTCTTAGATGAAAATGCATCTCCAGGAATGCCTGACGGTGGCAGTTCCCAAAATGCAATAGAAGGTGAGCTTGAAGAGGAGTCTAAAAATGGAGGAGAAAACCTTTTTTGTGAGGGATTCCAGCAAACTCCTCAGAAAGATAAAGCTGTTAAACTTGACAAGGAGGTATCAGTTAAAGAAGCAGGTACTTGTCAGTTGCAGAAAAGTAGGCATGGTCAGGAGCTGCTCAACTCAGATGATGATTGCACTGCAGAAAATCAAAATAGATCAGGCAGCACAAACTTGAATTCAGGAAGAGGCAAGGAAAGCTTGGAAGCAAATAGAGAAAACCCTGAAGTAGTGTGTAGAAACACAGACATTCTGAAAAAAAATAACCCACTTATGCTAACTCTTCCAGAAACAAGTAGTGCAGTAGAGCAATCAAATTTTGCTGGAAACATTGGAGAAACGGTACAAAATATACATAGTTTAGAGGGTGACAGAAGTTTCAAAGAGGATCCTACTGGGGAGGAGGAAGAAGCCCTTATGGAAGCACAACATGAAGCAGAAGTAACTATAAATAATGATCTTTGGGAGGCAGATGGCTCAACAGCTGAGAGCATGCAAGAAAGTAGTAATGAGGCTTTGGGAACAGTTATCAGTGCTGATGATAAAGGAAAGGCAATGCAAAATTTTGGCAAGTTTGATTCTTCTATAGTGAGGTTAAAAAGCCATCAAGATGGGGAGGGCACTGACCATTCTGCTGAAGGACAGATGTCAGGTGGAGTGAGAACTAGTGAGCTCACAGTGAAAGCAGACCCTTCACCAAACGGTGGGAAAAGGAAGAAGTCAGAAGGAATTTCCCTTGGGGAATCGACACGTATTCGCTGCGATGACTGTGGTTTTCTAGCAGATGGTTTGAGTGGACTAAATGTTCACATAGCCATGAAACATCCTTCAAAAGAAAAACATTTTCATTGTTTACTCTGTGGAAAATCGTTTTACACAGAGAGCAACCTTCACCAGCACTTGGCGAGCGCTGGGCACATGCGAAATGAGCAGGCAAGCGTGGAGGAGCTGCCCGAAGGAGGCGCTACCTTTAAGTGTGTGAAGTGCACCGAGCCCTTCGATTCAGAGCAGAGCCTGTTTCTCCACATCAAAGAGCAACACGAAGAGCTGTTGCGGGAAGTGAATAAGTACATTGTGGAAGACACTGAGCAAATAAACAGGGAGAGGGAAGAGAATCAAGGCAATGTCTGCAAGTATTGTGGGAAGATGTGCAGAAGTAGCAATTCCATGGCCTTCCTAGCTCACATCCGTACCCATACAGGTATGGAAACGCTCTCTTTGCAAGTGGTCTCTTTCAAACAGAGTGCATTATACCCTTGGTGTTTTTCTGCTTGTTAATCTCTTTAACACTTCTTATGAACTGGCATTCATATCGCCTGACGAGCCGCTGATGAAATTCAGACTTACCTAGAAGGGTATGAAAATACAGTGATCAAATGGCAGAAAATGTAAGAACATTTTAAGTGCAGTCACCCTTCTGCTTTTTATTTCATATAGAGAGATTTCCTTCCCTTTATTCTAAACTGTAGCTATTATTTGGTTCTTAAATTTATATAACGAAGCAGTGGTGTGTGAGAGAACAATTAGCTTTTCTTTCTAACTTCCTTTTCCTCACAGTTGTTTAATATCCAAATTGGTTATTTCATTTCAATTCAGTTATACTTTCAGCATTACGTAAAGCTTCAGGATAGACATTTGATATTACATCATTCCTAAATAAATACCAATAAGAAGCATTGAGAGGTTTTTGTAGAAATAAGTTATGGGAATTGGAATTGATCAGCCTTTTTGGAAGGTAGTGTGTAAGGCTGATATGATGCACAGGGATGTAGCATCTGATTTAGTTTCTGTGCTGATCACACTTTCAATTCATTTTTATGTTTAATTTTAAGTGGAAAATTTAAAAACATTTTTGTAGAAAAATGCATAAGCTGCAGTTCTAAATTTATGTAAAAATCCACTGCGATGTTTCTATAAACCTGCCATACATTCTTTATTTTAAATAGACAGCTTTTCTAAATCACTGAGCTCTGCTTAGACAAGTGGTGTCTCCATGGTTGAATTTATGAGTGGATTTGAATAATAAATTCACATTTCAATGAACATATTTTCATTAAAACTGTAAGGTTTATTTTACTGTACTTTTAAATAATGGCTTATTATGGAAGCTATAGTTTAAATTCATGCAGTATTTGAAACTTAGTGCATGGTTACAAGGAAGAGAACAAAAAGGTAAGAAAAAAGAAACATAAAAGAATGGTAATTCCTGGCATAATCCTAAAATAGTTTTGTAAGGTTTTTTTATGAAAAGGCAAGGGCGTGACTGGACAACAAAGTTTAAAATTAATCTTGGGGAACACAGGCATTGTATTTCAAACCTTTCAAAGTATTTTACTGTAACTGCAGTATTCATGTATACCAATAACTCACATACTTAATACTTTCAGCATTACTTCTATCCTGTCAATACCGTAGTTATCTGTATTGCTTCAGCTAATATCCAACTTTGAATGCAGTGTTAAGTCTTTAGAGGGACGCTCCTGTTCACATGGTCAGAACGGCTGTATAAGCCCTTAATATGCCCTCTTACGGCAGATAAAACTGAATAAAACTAAGGGGGAGGATGCTAATGGAGCTCTCTTTAGAATTCTTTATGCAACTGTCTGGTCAAGACATGTTGCTTATAATTGATGTGTCCATTACTTGAATTCTCTTGTAATTATAGTCAATAAGTCTTGTAAATGTGTTAAAGCTCACTAAAAGCATACAAATTCAAGAACAGAGTAAGGCTAATAATTTTAAATAATCAATGTAGGCATTTCAGCACTTAATTTCCCTTGTGTGTTGATAGCTGATCATTCTTAATCCATTAAGATTTATTTAGTCGTTTACAATGCAAAATAGGTTTGCACTGGTCACTTGTGCCATTTGAAAATGTCCACCAGGTTAAGTGCAGAATGTAGTCCATTAGTCTTCCTTGACTATATGTATTAATTGCATTTAAAATCAAGTTAATGTGGATGTGAAAGTGAGGTAACTATCAATATATGACAAAGCAACCCTACTTACATAAGTTACATCATTGATTGTAACATTTAGTAAAAGTTAGTGTACTTTTTAACATCTTGTGTGTAGGTCTTATCATGAAGTATATTTTTATTGTGCTTTTGGATGGCCCTAAATATGCAAAGCAGTAAAAGAATACATTTCATTTTGCAAGTCATTTCTCGGTGGTGCTTGCAGAGGGAGTATAGAAGTGTTACAAATAGAGTTTTATCTGCCCTCTTTCTCACGGCACCTTTGAATGAAATGCTTTTCTTACGCTTTGCTTATTCACATAAATAGTAATGTGGAGACTTTTATTAATAGTTAATGGGAAGATGACTTTCTCTTCCGATTCGTGTTTTCATATTTGTGATTTCCTTTGTGTCTTATAGAACCTTTTCTTCCAATCTGTATCACAATGGATGCAGCTGAATAAGAAACAAGTATTTTTGGGTTATTGGGAGTGGTGGCAGAGGGAACTGACCTACTCCACCAGCTGTATATACACTGGCATATAACATTGGTGAGGCAAAGTACAGTATTTCTAGCTTCTCATCTGTTCCAGGGTAATGCCAGATACATATAGGAGCAGAGCTGTGCATTTTCCCATTTGTTGTTCTGCTTTTTAAAAAAAATCTTTCTTCAGCATCCAGATGTGCATATAGGTTTATAGATGTACATATGTGTAACCCTATCCAACCCCTTGGTTTTTGGTTGGGTTTTTTTTTTTTTTCTTTTAATTGAGTAATTGGTGGTGGGTTTGGGGGGAGGTGGGAAGGGAAAGTTGTAGAAAGATATGACTAATGATTTCCATTAATAGAAAAATAATGTTTCAAAATACCATTAAATAATATAGATTTTCACATTGCAAATGAAAGGGAAGCTTTGCTAGAGAGGAGATAACAAGTAAGTCCATCACATGTTGACAAGTGAAAATGAGGAAGTGTAAAGAAAATAAAAGGAGTAGTAGAGGTGGAAGACTTTTTAGTTCGCAATTGATGCAGGTCCCATAAACTTAATTAACAATCAACATCCAAGGAAAAAAATCACCTGCGACCACATCATCTTTGTTTCATTTCTCATCAGATTTCTCAGTTAATGGAAGGTTTGCCCAATGTAAATGTGTTACCTTACTCCCCATGTCCTAAACATGGGAGGAAATGGTATGTTGATGTTTCATGCGGCTCTGCTCACTTTGCACTGGGCCTGAGCTAGGGACGCAGCTATGCCTGCAGGTGGAGGCGATGTTGCCGTTGGCTGGCTTGAAGCTGAGGCAGTGATTTTTTCCTATAGTTTTGGGTCTCTATTGTCTTAATGTAAAATAAGGACTATGAACTCCAGTCTTCTCTGTAAAACAGGACAATGATTTGTGTCTGTCTGACCCGAACTCTTTAATTTAGTCTGTTTTCGATTTGGTTGATTTTTTTTGTTTGGTTTTTTTTTTCTTCCCAATTCTCTTGTTAAGAGCCTTATTATTTAGTGCTACCATCAGAAAATGTATGCTCTGTTTCCATCCCATAACTTGTAGGTAAAGTAATTCTGGTTTTGGTTTTTTTTGGTTTGGTGGGGTTTTTTTGTTTTGGGCTTTTTTTTTTTTAAGTCATTTGGTTGGAAAGATGCTATATTGAAAGTATTTTCCTTATTTTTCTGTGAACTAAAAGCCAAGTGTGAATCCAATAGTGTCACATTTAACACAGCATATGAGAACCATTAAAGTTTGTGATAAGAGAAGTATGGCGAAGAATGTTAATTGCTTCAACATTGTTTCAGATAGCCTTATGGCAAATACAGATTTTTTCCCCCCCACTAGTTTAACACTTAGTCTAATGTCTTCATCTTAGGTATAAAATTTTGTGTTGTTCCATCCAAGAACATACTGGAACAAATTTGGCACCAACAACCTAAACGGGAGGTGCGCTGCTTTTGTTTCAGGTGATAAGTACTGACTGAAGCCTGCCAGCACTTGAATTTTCATGGAGTTTAAATGGAGATGTTAGCAGATATTCAGCTCTGGATCTGAGAAATAAATAAAAAAACCCTCAAGGCCTCAGTGATTTTTGGATGAGAGCAGTCAACAGAATAATACATTTCTGTATTGTCAGCACACTGTAGCTACAATTGGTCTTAACTCGAGTTTTTCACAAAGGAGTCATGTAAATGGAAAACAGCAAAGGTCTTGTATGGAAGCCCTGCGGGACACCTGCAGTAACAGAATGAGGAACGAATTTACAATTTAATCAGTAGGAGAGAAACTAAGGGAACATAGGATTGAATCCACATGGCATTTGAATTCTATGACAAAAAAGAGCAGTATAAACACCAGTAGATTTAAAAAAATCTTCTCCGACTATGGCCTTGATGTTATTAATTGTACAATTAGTCTTTAAGATCATAAGTTAAAGCATCAACTTTTAATACTCTTTTATTTAATGCAAAGATAGGCTTTTTTTTATTTGCATGGGTCTCTTTATAGAATGCAGTGTTGATTTGAAATGTCACCAAATTAATGATTAATTTAGTTTTATCAGGATCATTTAAATAAACTGGGGTTTCTCAGGGTGATTGATAGAATGTGATTGCTGTTAGCTGCAGTCTCAACCTGCTTTTGACATTTAAACATATAAAGCTGACTAGATATAACCATTCAGGTGCTAAATATATTTTACATCTACTTCCAACAGTAGAAATGGAAGTATTAAGAGATCTGGCTTCATTGTCATTGAACTGTGAAATATTCAACCTTGTCTGCCCGTGCTTAGTACTGTTGACTTTTTTATTTCAGTTAGAAGATTAAAATTAAATGCTTCATTTTTCGTCAGCTTTTGGGAATGAAATTGAAATTTAAGACTCTAAAATTTTTTACTAAGATCCTCAATTTCACCAGTGGATTCTTGGAGGATATTCTGTTTTCAAGGGCAAAGCAAAAAGGTTCATTGATCAAGTATGATATACTGCAACATTTTTCTTATCAGAGCTCTTTATGTATATTTATTAAAGATCACATATTTCATATTATGCTTAACTGTATTGGAAGAAGTACTTCACAAAACATATACTAAACATAATATGGAGACTCTGTGACCATATTGTACTTACTTTTAACTGCAATTCTATGATTTTGATTTATTGATTTAAGGATTTAGTGGTCAGAAAATTGGAAACTGCTACAGCATGCTTTAGAATGGTGTTGCTGCGTAATAACATGGGGACTGACTTGTGCCCAGTGTAACTATTTCAGTAAAAAAAATAGTTTTTCCATCCTCGAGAGAGGATCACTGTTAATTAAGATAGACAAATAATTTGACTTTTGGCTGAACTGATGTGATACAAGAAATAGGCTGGTACTTCCTTGAAGAAATAATTTCAGAGTTCTTTGGTCTGCAGCAGGCATTTAATATTAAAGTTTGTTCTTGAAATAAATAATAGCCAAAATGTCAATACTTCTGGTTTGCAGAATAATCATAAATTCTTGACCATAAAACAGTCATAAAGGCATAATATTTTATCCACTGTATATTCATACATTGCATGTCATTACAATAGCTAGGTGATGAATCATTTTCTGTGTGTGACAGAACAAATCTGAAATACCAATGCTAATGTGAAATCTATTCAAAGTCGGAAGACTTGTAAAATTACTTTACTTTAAATATATTTGCTTAAAAAACAAGTACCTTTGCAGTTTACACCAATTTCAAGCCACTTTAAGACCATTACCTGAATTTCAGCATTTGGAAATGGGGAAAGGTGTAGAACAACTTTTGCTATCTCGTTGAAAGGTTATCTACCTACTATATTGTCTTCTCATTTTAATGTTTTGTGGGTTTTTTAAATAATAATAAAAAAGAGTAAATTATTATTAAAAGTTCAGAGACTATTTTCCGTGTTCTTGAACTTCAGAAAACTTTAATGAGTACTGTATAGTATATACCGTCTGTGTCCTGGGAGTTATAAATTTATGTACAAGGTACTTTTTTTGTTAGGCAAAAATCTCAAACAGGTTAAATGTGGGATAGGCTTTTTTAAAGGTTATTTTTCCCCAGGATTTTTTATTTCTTTAACGGTGGGTGATATATTATTCTAATTCAACTCATATCTTATGCTAAATTTTACTTAGGATCAAAGCCATTCAAGTGCAAGATATGCCACTTTGCAACAGCTCAGCTCGGAGATGCCAGAAACCATGTCAAGAGGCACCTTGGGATGAGGGAATACAAGTGTCATGTCTGTGGGTGAGTAAATTGAAACAGTCTCCACCATGGTTAACCAGGAGAAGAGTGCAGGATATGCATTGTTTCAGAATTGAAAACTGTGATGTGAGCAAGAGTGGCTAAAATTATGCATGCATATCCTCCTTTCCATTGTTATGGTAAATTCCTTAAATACAGTTATGACATTCTTTTCCCACTTCTAATCCTGCACTGAAGATGAGCAATTTTATGGGCTACAAGGTCAATTTGAACCTGTAATCTGTAAATTGACTAAATTATAGGATGTTCATTCACATTGCCAGGGAGAACTGTAAATTCCATTTAAAGACATAAAAAATATATAATATAGACTTTACTGTGTGGGGTTTTTTCTTTTGCTATACTGTTATAATTTTAGTACCATTAACAGATTTCTGGACTCCATTAGGCTTTTCATTCTTTACGAAAACAAAACAGAAGACTGATTTTTCAAACAAACGGATCTAAAATATCGCAGGCATAAGACTTTAAAAATAAATTGAAGTCTTTTATGTATGCTTGTATTCTTGTTTGTTACCCAAAAAATCTTGTTTTTCTTTTTTACTTAATCGTTATTTCCTCAGAAGGATCGTTCATAATGTTTAATTGTCCTTCAAATGTGTTGCATTTAATAGGAGGCATTGAGACTCCTTAATGCAAAACTAATTAATTTAGCAGAAATGTTTAAAAGGTTTTAAAATGCCATGGCATATATGGTACATCATAGGACATTCCAAGTTGGATTTTAATACCCTAGTTCTGATTAAAAATATATTTTAATGTTATTATGCTGGAGAAATTAAGTAATATATGCATCATATAAAAACATTTTACTCAAACCTATGTAACCTGCTCTAGCAGTCTTATAGCTAATGTGTAGAACAGCACAGGTTCAATTAGATGATGCAGTGCACACATGAATGGTGTGGTGTGATGTTGGGGATAATATTCGGCAGGAGGGGTTTTTTCAGCCTTAGTATACCAATCTACTGCAGGACAAAGTGAGTTACACATTTTAAAGGACAAGTGAATCTTCAGCTGAAGATGCAGCTGAGTGATTTGCACTGATTCATCTCCCTGTTTTTCAAATAGTTTTGCATGCAACATTATGAGATACTTTGGATGTTTTTACTCACTGAAGAAAATTAATTGCTGACTCCTTGAAACAAGAAATAAAAATGTAAGAAAGAGCCTAATTCTTAAGTCCACTGAATATCAGTAGTAGAATAACTTGTGCTACTCTTTATTTTGCAGCATGTTTAAAATGAACATTATGTGTGGTAGGCTGTTTTATGTTGTTTGAAAAATCTTCTTTACTATCTCTGCTATATGAATTGCTGAGAATTTGGCATGGGAGATAGTGAACAACTACAGATCCACAAAACTGTTTAGCTAAGGCTAAGCTCTGTTCTTTAGAAGTTGTCAACAAACTTGACAATGGTTCTTTATTCAATTCCCTTTTAACTTAAACTGAAAAATCATCATATTATTTAACTATGCTATAGTGAGAGGAAAAACAACAAAAAAAAAAATCTCAAAATAGTTAATACTGTGTCTTTTATTAAAATTATTAGGATTTGGCACAGTTCCTCATTTTTTCAAAAAACTCCTTCCTTCACTTCAGAATTGCCATGTTCTTAGAATCTGTCTCAGAAATTACATAACTCTCAGTTGCAATCCACAATGGTTATGCAAGAGAGAGAGCAAAACGTGTATGAATGATTTAAACTGTGGACTCGAATGTTAGTCGCTTTGCTAAGTTGATTGCTTACTGGATGTTGCTGACATGTCATACCTGGTAGCCAAGCAGGTACTCATTTTCCATTGCTCTGTAGTATTGTACAGCTAATTTTCATCAACAACGTGAAGCTGTGCTATTTAGATATGACAAAACAATCAGGTGAAGAGACATACACCACAATACCCTGTGCTCACAAAAATCTGATTTATATACCTGTTTAAATTATCATCATATTTCACTTAATGTGCACCAAAAATGTGTTTGAAGAAATATACATTAACAGTGATTTAATTGGAAAAGACATTGTTATACTGTAGCTAACAGTCCTGAAGAATTGGAGCAGGATTTGAAGACAAGGAATGACCAGAGCAGTTTGAACTGTAGTCCAAATAATGAATATGCCATCCTTAAATGTGGAAGAAGAGAAGAAAGTGTAATAGCCTGTGCTGTATTTCTGCTATTTTAATTGAAAGGATCGGGTAGTGTGTAGGTTAAAAAAATAAAGTAGAAACATAAAAAAAAATAAAATTGCTAGGATTGGCTATCGGATTAGTGGCACTATAGAGCATTGGTACATTAACACCACTGACAATGTCAATTCATTATCATTGATGGCTAAATAATCTTAGAAATGCTCAGTGGACCTATTAGTTCCTGAACATAAGCAGCTCATGCTGCATTTCTTCATTAGCTTTAATTGCTATAAATTTTACCTTTTTAAAAATCATGCTTTAAAAGGTGAAGTGATCTTTCAGGAACATTAACTCTGTAATTTTGTCACAAACAGAAGGTCCTGCACTATGTTTTCTTTTCTACAGTAGTTAATATTCTATCCTCTGACTTTTAGATTCATAGTAATAAGCCCTCTGCTAGTTGTGAGGATAAATTGTGTTTCAAAAGCTTTTGAATCTGCTTGGGCGCTTTTTAAAGGTGAAATGTCAGTGCAACATCATGGTGTAGTGCAGTCTCAAAATACCACTTTTTTTTTTTTTTTAAAGACAAAAATTCTCAGGGAAATTTTGTCTTTAAAAAAAAAAAAGCAAAAAGCTGGATCTGTGGTGTTGTTTTAGGAAGGGTTTGCTATGTCTCAATTTTCCAAATGATCCTCATATTTACATGATTCAAAGTACACAATATATAATTCACTTAGTTGTTGAAAAAGGCAGTAATTTTGCTGTGTTTTTTTATTTTTTTTAATTGAACTTCAGGGTTTGTTTTTCTTCAGCTGCACAGCAAAAACTACATGACACAGAAATTGGACACTGCTAATGTTTTAACGTTTGGAATAAACCGTCTGCTACTCATTTCCTTATCGCAGATGTGTGTTAATTGTTTTCTTTTCCATACCCGTGGCTGTAAAATATATGCCATTATTTCAGAGGTAGTATCTATTTTCTGCGGGTAGCAAACTGCTGCATATTTGAAAATAATTTTTGAAAGTCTGGCTCTGAAATTGGTTGATAGCCTGGGTTAGATGAGCAAATCTTGGTTGCCCAGCATTTAAAATTTTTGTTTCATTTGCCTGGTGAAATGCAGAGAAAAGGCTTATCATGTACTTCTCAGATTTTATGCCTCAGGTAGAACATGAAAAATGCATTGTTCTGCACTTGAGATTTTGAACAGAATTTATAGGCAATGTTTGATTTAAAAATGCATCTGCTATTCCTTTGCCTTTTTCTTGCCTTTGCTTTCAGAAACAAAAATTTTGGGGCTGTAGTTACATGTTTCAAGTAAGAGTGGCTGCTTCTTTCTTTTTTTTTCCCTCTCCTTTATGACTTCTTAAAAATCTGCTGAGGAAGATGGGTGTAAGGTAGGTTTGGATTTTCAGGAAAATTTTCAGTATATAAAACATGCACATAAACATTTTTTGCTACCTTCCTAAAAATTGAGAGGACACTCGTAGCAATGTCTTCATTAAGTTTATTCCATATATACAGTACAGTGTTGTAAGGAACAAAAGTAAGTATTTGTATACACAAAGGAATTTGGAGCGGGGTGGAAAAGGTTGGGGGTTTATTTCTGTATTTTGCTGAAGTAGTTCTTTCTTGTGAGGTTTTTTTTTGTTGTTGGGTTTTTTTGCTTTGTTTTGGTCTTTTGGTGGATTGAGGTATTAATCTTTTTTAGTTTCTGCTCCTCAGTTCTTGATTTGCTTTGAAACTCCTTTTCCCAATTAATTCTGGAGATGTTATAAGATGTTCAGCTAAATAAGTGTTTTGCTAAATTTGGTCATTTTTTAAAGCCTCATATAAACAAATTTTGAGGAGTTGTAGTGTCCCAAGCATGGAAATAACTTCACTTTTGCTGCTGTTGTTAATGCTAGGAATAGTTTAGAGATCTTAATCTGTCTTAAGTTCAGTATTTTAATGACACTGGTTGCTTTGAGAATGTCTAAAGAAAAATATTCGCCTATATCGAGTATAATGGCTAATAGATCTTCGTACTTTAAAGATAAGAATGTGCTTTGACCAGCTGCATAAAAAAAAATTGGCTGTATTCCTGTGTGTTACGTTCTAAAAAATCTTTTAGATTTTCAGATTTCTTTAACTGATTACTGTTAATGTCAGGCTACTTTTAGTGAAAGCGTGCTCTTAAGATTGCTTTTAGCAAGCAAAAAAGACTTATTCATAAATTTATTGCTAGGAGCAGGAAAAACATTATATTTTCAAGGATGCCTTAATGTACTGTAATGTAAATTAATTATTTATACTTGTGCAGTTTGGGAAATCTTAAATAGAAAGTTGCTACTGTAGTAAAACTATTTTTGTGTGGTATTACCTAGTTTTTGTGCATTAGAAGGGATCTCTGTGTAGATGATTATAATGTCACTTTCTGACCTTTGCAGCTTGAATAATTGTAAATCATTGCTTCATAACGTGTCAGAGAATGTCTGTACTAGGCAATTAAATGGCAGAATATAATAGACCAAATTATTGCCTGTCATGTTTTCAACAACACAGTTAGTATTTGAGTTACACTTAATCATTACGTGCATTAGCAACTTCATTGGAATCCAGCTTCAGGCTGAGCATGAAATACATTACATTATTTAAACCTCTAATGGTAGAAGTCATTTATTTGTGTTGAAGTGTACAACATGCAGAGTTTCATAAAGCAAAGAACACTTGAGAGCTTAATTTATCCAAATCAAAGTCTAAATGCAGATAAACACAAGTGGCAAAAATTAGTAATTTTTATAGGCTGGAAATATTTAAAAATACATGGTTGTGGGTAATTGTAGGCAGCAGG